CGGCCGGGCCCGGTGGCTCAAGCCTGTAATCCCAGCACTTTGGGAGGCCGGAGACGCGGGATCACGAGGTAGGAGATCGAGACCATCCTGGCTAACACGGTGAAACCCGCATACGTCATCACTACCTTATTACAATGGAAAACGTTAGTCCATAGTAGACGATGAGGCAGCAAATGACTAAATAAATAAATTAATGAGGGGTGGCGGGCACCTGTAGTTCCCAGCTACCGGACGAGGGCTGAGGCCATAAGCGCCCGCCTCCACACATCGACCAGCGCTAACACCCGGGAGGCGGACGCTTTGCAGTGTGTGTCCCCGAAAGGCACAGCCCTACGCCTGTAGCCAGGAGAGAACTCTGCGAGCCAGCAAAACACAAACTCGGCCAGGAAACGGACCACAACCCCACCGGGAGGAGCCAGAAGAAAACGCTGCGCCGCGGGTTCTTCTTCCGGGCCGGCGGCGAGCGCTTCCGGGGCGGCGGCGAGGGAGGTGGAAGTGCAGTGTCCTGGCAGGTGGCTGCTGTAGCTGGGCGGGCCGTGGGAGGCTCCCGAGGTGGGGGCCCGGTCGGGATGGCTGCAGCGGCGGCTGGGGCCGGGAGCGGGCCCTGGGCGACCCAGGAGAAGCAGTTCCCGCCGGTGCTGCTGAGTTTCTTCATCTACAACCCGCGCTTCGGGCCGCGCGAAGGAGAGGTATGCGGAGGGGGCCGCGCGCGGAGTCAACGGGCCCGAGGGACGGCGTCGGTACCCCCCGGGGAGGCGGCCCTGTGGTTCTGCCCACCTCGAGCGGCACGGACCTAGCCTGCGTTGCGCCAGGTGCGAGTACGGACCGGGGACTGCGGCGGGGACCTGACAGCAGGCAGGGACCACTTCAGGTCCTGGGTCGATGCCTGTCTATGGAATAAAGCCCCGTCGGGTCTATCACTCCACACCGCAGGCTGAGGCTGTTTGCGCTTTGCTTTGCCTCAGTTCTGGGAAATTAAAATTGAACTTGGCTTTGTTAAGTGGTTAGTCCCCAGCTAGAAGCGTGGAAGCAGAGTGGCAGATGCTAGCCCTCAAATGATGCAAGCCTGGAGGACCCTGTAAAAGTTTTCGGCCAAATGAGGAAATAAATTAATTCCAGGAGGGTGTGTATATGTGTGCGTTTTGTTTTTCTGAGGTGGGGACGGCGACTTTCTCCAAGGATGTACGGAGCTGTGTTTCATTACCAGCAAGTCACAGTTCTTTTAAAGACTGTCCAGGCTGGGCTCCGTGACTCACGCCTGTAATCCCAGCACTTTAGGAGGCCGAGATAGGAGGATTGCTTGAGGCCAGGAGTTCCAGACCAGCCTGGGCAACATAGCAAGACCCCCATCTCTTACCCGCCCCCCCCAAAGAAAAATCGAAAAGTGAGCCAGGCTTGGTGACACGCACCTGTAGTTCTAGCTACTCAGGAGGCTGAGGCCAGAGGATCGCTTGAGCCCGAGTGGTTGAGGCTGCAGGAGAGCTGTAATTGTGCCACTGCACTACAGCCTGGGCCACAGAGACCACATCTCAGAAAAAGAAAAAAAAAAACTTGTCAGCTCAAATGCCTGGGAACTGACTGGATTTAATTTTCAGGGAGTTGTGTGTCTGCAGATGTGCACACTTTTATTTCTTATAAGCCTTGGTGTATTACAAATTACCACCAGGAAAGAAATCTAGAGACTGAGTTTTCATAGAAATTACCTGGTGCTGCTTCAGATATAACGTGACTAACTGTATATCAAAACTACCTTTCTGGCTGGTGGGCAGTATTTGCACATGACGAGATAATTCCTGTTTTTCTTACTATTTTAAATAATAGAGACGAGGTCTCACTGTGTTGCCCAGGCTGGTCTTGAACTCCTGAGCTCAAGTGATCCTCCCGCCTCAGCCTCTCAAAGTGCTAGGATTACAATTCCTGTTTTTCTAAAACGTTTTTGTTTTGTTTTGTCATTAGCATGTGTGACACAAGAGGTCGACATTGAACTTAGCATTTTCGGTAGCTAAGATGAAATGTTTATATTAATGCGCTTCTGTTTCTTCATGTTTCAGGAGGAAAATAAGATTTTATTTTATCATCCAAATGAGGTAGAAAAGAATGAAAAGATTAGAAATGTCGGATTGTGTGAAGCTATTGTACAGTTCACAAGGTAATACCTTTAAGTGTGCCTTTTAGAGTTCAGTGAATTCTTAAAACTTCTGCTGGAGAATTGTCTCAAACATATTTTTTTAACCTTTTAGGACCTTTAGCCCATCAAAACCTGCAAAATCTTTACATACCCAGAAGAATAGACAGTTCTTCAATGAACCAGAAGAACATTTCTGGATGGTCATGGTATTTACATACACGGTGTATCTTTCTGAAATTGTATGGTGAAGTTATGGGTGATCTTTACTATTCAGAGTTTGGGAAAGTTCTCTGGCTGTTGCATCCAAGTAACATTAAAATAAAATTAGTTGGAATTTTAAAGTCAAGTTCTTCCTATTTGCTTTATTTGTTCTTGGGGCTGTTTTAAGAAGTTGTGTTTCTGGTGCTATAGCATGTTCAAAGTTTTTAAATTAAGGCAAAATAAAAACCATGGTATAATGAATTCATTGTATAATTTCAGTTTATCAAACTTTGCAGGTTGTTCGGAATCCTATAATTGAAAAACAGAGTAAAGATGGAAAACCAGTTATTGAATATCAAGAGGAGGAGTTGTTGGTAATGTGTCATTATTTGTTTATTTATTTTAAATGTATTACTGAGTATGTTGAATCCCTCAATTGGCCGTATTGAAACTCGGTGGCTTTTGCGAAAGTTTCTCAGGGTATATAGCAAAGGTTTATGTTTATCGTTTACATGAGCACAGTCTTTTTAAAATGTATATGCACCCTATCTCACTAATACCTTCTGCTCTTCATCTACATTGAAAGCCCTCCTAAAGTAAGGCTTACTAAGTCACAAATTAGAATTTAAACACTTCTGGCTGGAAACAGTGGCTCACACCTGTAATCCTAGTACTTTGGGAAGCCGAGACGGGCAGATCACTTGAGGTCAGGGGTTCAAGACCAGTCTGGCCAATATGGCGGAACCCTGTCTCTACTAAAACTATAAAAATTGGCCAGGAATGGTGGCGCACACCTGTCATCCTGGCTACTCAGGAGGCTGAGGCAGGAGAATCGCTTGAACCAGGGAAGCAAAGGTTGCAGTGAGCTGAGACTGCACCACTGCACTCCAGCCTAGACAACAGAGTGAGACTCCATCTCACAAAAGAAAAAAAAAGTAAACACTTTTTCAGCACACAACTATTGTGGGACCAAGTTGATAAACATTATACCGTTTGGCCAAGAGTCAGTGTAGCTTTGCCATCTCTCCGATAGACATTGTTTTCCCTCGAATTGAGATCTGTGCTGTGTTTTTGTGTTTGCAGGACAAGGTTTACAGTTCAGTGCTACAGCAGTGCTACAGCATGTACAAGGTAAGCCTGGCATTCGTTTTGAACCGAGAGTCCAACCAGTTACCCCTGTTTATATAGGCTCCAGGGTTGTTTATATAGGCTCCAGGGTTGTTTAAAGAGAAATGTTTCAGTGACTGCAAAGTGACTGTGTATTTCTCTTAGAGAAGAAAATAATGAGGCCTTGGAAACAGGTAGTGAGGTTTATGCCCACATTTATTCAGCAAGTATTGAACTCCCTTCTCTCTCTCAGCCTCAGAGTGGGAATGTGTCCCCACTGATGAAAACGTGTGTCTCTGTCCTCAAGGAACGTACAGAATGCAGATAATTTTATGATTTAAACATTTCAGTGAGGCAGGGCACAGTGTATCACACCTGTAATTTCAGCATTCTGGGAGGCTGAGGTGGGAGGATTGCTTGAGCCCAGGAGTTCAGGACCAGTCTGGGCAATATAGCAAGACCCCATCTCTACAAAAAATGTTTGTACAAGTTAGTCAGGTGTCATGGTGCATGCCTGTAGTCCCAGCTACTTGGGAGGCTGAGGTGGGAGGATCGCTTGAGCCTGGGAGGTCGAGGCTGCCGTGAA